TAAGTATATTTATAAATTATTTAATATTTTTCCAATATAAGTAACGTATAGTACAGCAATTTTATCGGATTAGCACATTATGAAATGTCTATTGTTGAATCTTTTATCATAGTGTTACTATTTACCTATTAGGCCTACCATTAAGCACTCTGCAGATCAGTGCTACTGCTGATGATAGTGATGATGATAGCGCATAGAGGCTTTTTCTCATGATGCGCTCTACAAATCCAACTATTATTATTATTATTATTATTATTATTATTATTATTATTATTATTATTATTATTTGTTGTACTTATATTTTCAGTATTATAATACTATATATAGGCCTACATGTATCTTTTGTTTTTATCATTCGACTGATACTTTCAGAAATAGTACGGATGAATACAGATATTTGACGGAACTATTTATATGCAATGTTTATGATATCGTAACCAATTCCAGCCTCGAAGCTAAATTGAATTTTAGCATATTTAAGAAAATGGTAAGTAAATGAAAAACATTGACATCTCATGTGAGATTTAATAGTCAAAACGTTAGATAGTAGATTATCATAATTATATTCATATAATATTTATGTGTTATAATTTAAAATTATATAGAAGATAACTAAATATTTAATCATGCTTTCTTCAAATATGCCTTAAAAAAGTTAGAACAGAATAATAATCGTTTTCCCACTAATTAACAAACGGACAACATATTACCATTCCTACATTTTTGCCTAGACCAGAAATATGTTTTAGAAATAATTTCAAGAAAATCGGACGACTAAAAAATGGAATATATGCTTCCTAAGTGCTAAGTGAAGTTTATGTGTCTATTTGTGGTGATTTTTATTCAACTTTTATCATAAAGGAAACCTACATCGAAACTGAAGCTGTTGTCAAAGAGCCAATTTGCCTATTTTTCAACGAAACACAACAGTAAGATTTATATTGTTTGCTGTAATTTATAAATCTTTAAACAGTAAACGGATATGTTGTAAATGAAGTAAACAATAAGCAGGGAACAATGAAGCGTAATTTGCAATTAGTAAAATAATATATTGATTGTCATACGATTTTGATTCAATGAAGGACTTGGAGTGATGAAGGTGTGATAACCACTGACCATTCACAAGACAAAGTATCTTGCTCTTCTGACCATATTACCAGTTTCAGCGTATTGATGAAAGTTACTAAAGCAGAAGTATGTATTCGTTCATATTTTTCATCTCAATTTTTCCTTGATGTACACACAGTGCCTCAAATGTATTTTGAACTTATATAACTAAAGCCTGTGAAATACATTTTTCTATATAGGCACCACATACATATAGGCCTATATATATAATATTGAAGGAAGTTAGCCGTTAACACTGCTGAATAAAAATAATATAAATCATCACATGTACATATACAGTGTTTAATAAGGACATGATAGAACATCGTAGTCTACCCTGTAACCCTGTAACATTTGTAGCTGTTTAGTTACGGCACTGAAAGTATTCTGTTTAGGTCCAGGTTGATAAGCTGACGGCATAAGAACTTTACAAGTAAAAGTACAAATGAAGGGTAGAAATAAAATCGACAGGAAAGTTTCAAGGAAGGCAACGTCACACATGCATAAAATGCCTCCGACGGGATTTGGACCTGTTCAACCATGAAGCCTTCGTGGTCTAGTGGTTATGACGCTCGCCTTGTCAGCGAGAGGTCGCAGGTGCGAATCCCGTCGGAGGCATTTTATTACACATTGACTTTTATAGGACTTTATTCGTTGAGAAGCTACAGGGTAGCCTACGATGTTCCATCATGACCTTATTAAACACTGTATATTTACCTTTGATGATTTATATTATATTATAAAGCCACTTAAAGTCATAAAGAACATTTTATATTTTTGTAAGCTTATGTTTTAGCTACGCCTACCTTTGGCACGGTGTGGAAAAGCATTACATTTCAAACTTCATGTTAAAAAAAACAATTGACCAGATAAACATAATAAAGCAGTTCCTTCTTTAAAAAGTTTGTCTTTCTTTTGAAGGATTAATTTTCTAAAAAGGATTTTACTTCTAAATAGGCTTACTTAAATATTCTACTACCTATGTAGTTTACTTCACAAAACCGATTTTGTGAGACTGTTTCCTACCAATTGGTCTATCGGCTCAAGACCGTTAGTGACTGATGTGACATGCATGTGTGACGTTGCCTTCCTTGAAACTTTCCTATCAACTTTATTTCTACCTTCATTTTGTACTTTTACTTGTAAAGTTCTTATGTCGTCAGCTTATCAACCTGGACGTAAACAGAATACTTTTGCTGAACTAAACAGCTACAAATGTTAGGCTAATAGTATATTATAATTTTTTTTAACGGAACATGCTTAAAGAGAGCAAACTGTAGCAAGGACTCTTTGACTGTAGCTCCAAATCATGCGCTGTTGTTATTGTTATTTTTGAATGTTTAATGATGTAGATCAAATGATAATCATTGGTTTCAATTACATACAGGACAGCAAAACTTTGAGTCTGATGTCGAGAGTGTGCGGTTCTCTGTCACTCATCGCTTTGGTTGTTTCTCTTATCGTGTACTGCTTATTTCCGTAAGTTATGTAAATTATTATTTTTTTTTTGTAATTTTAAATGGTGATTTCAAGACACATTTCGAGAGTAAACCTAATACAACTACATACCACATCGTAGTAAACAACATATACATTTTAATTATAAAGAAATAACATTAGATATAAGTAAACCAAAGTAGGAGAGTAACACATTATTGAATTATTGTATACAATTATTAAAACCCGTAAAAACAAATGGATCAAATAAAGTAGGATGATATAAACAATTAACAATAATTGGAACTCAGAAAGATAAATTTATCTCTTTATCTTTTCAATACTTCTCAAATTCTCAACAACATTTCTTATGCTTTTTTTTAGTCTGGGAGTTAAGATAAAAGTAACTATAGTATAAAATGTCTAAAATAGACTGATAGTTGTCATAAAAGTATTACTAGGGAGTTTTCGCAAACTTACGAAAACGATTATGAATAGGGATAGGCTCCTACGTCATCCAATTTGCATACAACCCTTCCCTACAATAGCATATTTTGCCAGATAGAGCCCCGTTATCATCGAGTCCTCTCCAACCACTTTATTTTCAAACCCCATCAGACCCGCCATTTTAATACCACTAGACAAGCCACTTGTATGATATCATAACTGTATTAGCACAGCCTTTTAACAAACCAAAAAATTGTATATAAAAAACTATTGTCTCTGGCAGGATTACAGCTTGTAACCTCTCACTACAAAGGTGCGTGTGTCTTATCGTTAGTCCACATATACCTGCACAGATCTAACCCACAAACAACTTTTCTCATACAAGTGGCTTGGAGCTCACACATGTTTAAGCGAGAAACTGGCTTGTACATAATTGTCGTTGCTAATTATAACATTAAGGTATAATTATTAATAGAAAAATATACAAATGCATATTTACTTGTTTACCTGTAAATAGGGAACTATGGAAAGCACTCCGCGTTTCAATTCACAAAAACCTGGTCGTTAACATGATTTTGATGCAATCACTCTTTATTTTTGGGATCGACAAGACAGTCCACAAGGTAAGTAGCCCATCACTGTAATACATTGTTTATCATATCATAATTTTATTATCAGATTCAGATTATTCTTTATCTGTATTTATTTCAATTGTTTCCCTCAGCAAAACATCACATTAATAAACAACACATATAAACACCGTTATAAATATATTACTATTACATTACTATAAATGTGTTTAACAATTATTTACTTACAATTTCGCTACTGGCAATCCTTGGTCTATAATTACATACCTTACTTTACTTATGCCGGGACTAGCTTCTTTCCCGAGCAATGAATTCTTTCCACAATGCACGGTCTTCCGTCAAGCATTTTATTCTCTTCGTCTGTTGAAGCATCTGTCCATTCGTAGGACATCAATGCAAGTCTTAGCTGGTCTACCTCTGCCGCGTGCACCATGTCCAGAAGAGTTGATTATGTTCAACTTGATCAGTGCTGCTGCTGCGATAACAATGTCCTCATCATTCGCCATCTGACGGTATCTGTTAAGCGAGGTATATGTCCATATAATGACTCATTTCTGATATGGTTGTTCTCATCAACTTTGGCATTCAATGCTGTTTTCAAGAGTTGTGCCGTTGAGTCTATTGGCAATTGTATTGGTGATCGTCCACGTCTCAGTACCGTAAAAGTACTGTTTCTATGGTGACTCTAAAGCTTTCTTTTCAATTCCAATCTCCACATCTTTTTCATCTTGTACATTGCCAAGCAGGCATGACTTGCTTTTCTCTTTATTATGTCATTTTCAGTACATCCTAGATGGCTTCCTACATACTTTAAATCGTTTACTCTTTCTAATTTTCCTTTCGGTTGTCATATATTTTGTTTTTTTAGAGTTTAGAGAGAGTCCAACATCTGCTGCAGTTTCTTCAGTTCTTTTATGTACTGTAGTTCTGGGCTTGCTTGAGTGTTAGATGTTAAAACAATATCATGCGCAAAGTGCAAATCGGTGATGGTTCTTGGACTGTGTTTTCTACTTTTGCATTTTTCTAGAGTTAAACCTACTTCCTCCTTCTTCCCTTAAATGCTTTCCTCAAGGCGTAGTCCAAAACAACTTCAAAGAGATATGGAGCCAGTGGGTCTCCCTGTAGGACCCCCGAGGTTATGCTAAAATATCAGTTGGGCCATCTGGTGAAATGAGGTTTAGTTAAAATCTATAAATATCACCAGTAATGGAAGATTGTTTCCCTTTACCTCTTCGTTCTCCTCACAGCCAGTATGTGGTTTACAGTATGGCCTATCGTGAATCCATTTTGATTTATTCTTAGGTGAGCATCTAGCAGAGTCCGGATTCTGTTAAGTAGCAGTTTGTAAAAAAGATTTGCAAAAATTGATGTTAAGCTAATGCCTTTATAGTATTCAGGTTTACTTAGGTCTACAGATTTTGGGATAGTTAAAATGTTGGACATCTTCCATAGGTCTGTGATATTTCCATTTAGTACTTGGTTGCAGAAATATAGAATATCTTCTACAGCACATCTTTTAATAACTTTATGAGTAAACCCATCTTCTCCACAGCAGTTTCCCTCAACAAGCTTTGTTCCTCCATAATGAATTGACCCTCGTTTATTTCAAGATCATCAAACACATTTTCTATTTCTTCGGGTTGTCCCTAGTCAACACTTTCTTCTTGTTCCCCACCTAGTAATTTGCAGAAATGGTCATACAATAATATATTTAAAATAAAATAAAATAAAAAATAAAATATATGTATTTGTTCGTTTGTCCTTTTATCCGTCAACCCATTTACCATAGAAAACATGCGCCATAAAACTATCAATTTCTTCGATGTACGTACATTCTGCATTATCCATTGAGTCGTTTAAATAATAATTTTTCTTTCAGATTGCATGTGCAGTTGTTAGCGTTCTTCTTCACTTCACTGTGCTGAATACTTTCACCTGGATGTTTGGTGAGGCGGTGTACTTGCTTTTCAAAGTTTCCACATCAGCTCCTAGCCAACACAACCGACTTCGAAATTACATGGCAGTATGCTATGGTATTCCCCTTATCATCGTTGCCATTTCTTCAGCTGGATTCTCATCCGGATACAATTATGATGGCATGTAGGTTACTGATTAATGTATAATGCTGGAGACACAGGGGTTGGGCAAGTGTGTGTTGGGGGGGGGGGGTAGGCATATGAGAGAGCTGCCCCACCCCTCTGCGTCGCGCAAGATAAGAAACAATTTTTCATGGAGGGAAAATCCTAAACTGCCATAGTTTTAGGAAGTCCGTCTCTATTACCGATACATTTTGAGTGACGCCCGAGACACCCACTTCGCTCTCGTCACAGATCACCTCCCCCTCCCATTGAGGACATTAGACACTATGTCAGGCAAATCCACGCACCACCTCTAGCGTATTGTATTGTTAAAATGCATGTATTAACGTGTGAGTGAGCCTGAAAGGCATCACTACAAAAAATACTGTATGGTATAGGATTTTGTAATTAAAAAAGATGACATATTTTAATGGATGGCGTACACATTGAGATATCTTCTTTATCTCAATGTTTTAAAAAAGAGACAGTAACAATGAACATATTTTGATCTTTTCAAGTTGTTGGCTTAGTCAGGAAAGAAGAATGATATGGGCATTCGTAGCACCAGCGATTTGCATTGCTATGGTAAGTACTGTTTGAGTAATATAACTTACATAAACATTCTTTGATAGATCTAAGGATTAATTTCGCAATTTTGTGTATGTTTTTTGACTACTAAGTTATTTGATTTTAATAATTTTATTAATAATATTTTACAAAAGTAAGTTAGTGTAACCTTTATGTAATAATGCGTATACTCCAGATTCTCTTTTTAATGACAAACACATTTACCTTTATGTAATGCTGTACACATTTTAATGATTTTTTTTCTTAAGGTTAACACTGGAATAATGTGCATTGTTTTGAGAACCATTTACAAACGAGCCGGTAATATGGTAGGAAAGCCAGCGGCAGAGAGGACCAAGTTTAAACAATTGAGGTAATTTGCAATAAACAAAATGGATAAATAATAATAATAGTAGTCGAATAGGAACAAGATGCTTATAAAAGTACGATTACACAAAGTAGAAACGTGTGCGTTGATATTACTGACAAAAAATATTTTAATTCGAATATTTCGAGCTCTCCGGTGCTCTTATTGAGCAATACCACGTATGATTTAAAAGCCTACACAAATTTATTCCAGTCGACACTTTGCAAGGCCACTTGTCTTGAATGTATATGACCTTGGTATTATTTATTTATTTATTTTTTATTTTCAAACAATTGTCCGTCCGTCAGGAATGCTTCGTTCCCACTTACAGACGAAAATTGCAAAAATCATTAAAAATATAATAAAAACTATGAAAACATAAGATATGAAAACATTTTAAATTATTATTATTATTATTACTATAATTATAATTAATATTGCTAATATTGCTATAAATATTTAAATTACTTAAAATTACAATTAAAATTTCGTTTAAAGTACACTCAGAATATTTACAAATTACACTTAGAACACTCAACACTAGTAAGAAATATAATTATTCAGATGACATTTCAACATATTTGAAGAATTATTATTATTATTATAACTCCAGCTGAAATACACGGAGAGGCAGCGATGGGAATTAAACCGGGGACCTAGAGATCTCCACAGTTTAGCGCACACACAGTGGCAACCACCAGATTAGCCGACTGAGCTAAGCTGCTCTCTCATTCGTCCCAAATTGTGAAAGCCAAATTCCCGGATAGCTTGTAGTGCAGGACAGGCAGATGATTTTGACGTGTGTACTAGTTAGCTAAAACTATAACGCATGTACAAGGATGCGGGTGTACAAATTTATCGCCATGCTCAATATGAAAACTAAGAGGCTTCGACAGGTTTAGGACACTGTTAATACCTAATTTCGGGAGGAAATGTGGAATTTCCGGAAGACTGGAAGAAACCAAAATTCTTTGAGACTCCAGGGCAATCCGGAAGACTTGGGAGCCCTGCAGTCTGGATTTTTCTTAGTGTAGCTCACTGTATCTAGTGGCGTAGGGGAGACTGATAGAGATAAAGGAGCGCCGATAAGATGCGATCTAACGCCAGTATTCTTAAAACGAACTTTAGTCGAACTTCGAACTAGAACTTCATTTAGTCTTACTTGCAACTTCAACTTGAATTTGTATTCACAAACAACGTAGTAGAAGTTCTAACTACGACTAAATCAAGTCCTAGTTGTAGTTCAGCTGAAGACGACTGGCAAGCAACAACTATCAAACTAACCAATAAAAAGAGCTAATTTTAATAGCAGACGAAATTTTAGAGATCCGGTAACGCGGAAGAATATTAAACTGCCGTCTGTCTTTCAAAAACATATTTCCTCATAATTCATAATCCCCTACTCTTTGGAAAATAGTAGGGGATTGTCTCCCGGTGTACTGCCCAATCACCACAAGAAGGACCCCGATGGAAATAAGTCTTCTTCTAGACTTTCGTGGGCTATCCTTGGTGTTTACACCGAATAAATCCAGTCCAATCCAATCCGAGACTTTTCGGTGACGTATTCCTTCAGATGTTGTAAAGAAGGAATTTCTAACCCCTACTCACAAAAGTGCCACGCGTAAATTAGTTCGGCACCACTCTCCAGTATCTTGTCCACCGTACAGTGGCGGACAGCCGCCTAAAGAAATATTTCGATAACTCTTGCTGTCCTGATAAAGATAGCAGGAGCTATCAAAATATTCGTTCTATTTTGTTATATTTTTAAGTTTGTTCCGTATTATATATATGTATGTATATATACATACATATACGTATATATACATATACATATGTATATATACATACATATATATACATATAATAATTATATATATTATTATTGTATAATTAGATAATTTGTACATTTGATTAACTCAACCAGTGTTCTTACCTTTTACATTGTTTATTCCCTATCAAACAACAAACAAAATCATCTCTTGATAATGCAAAGCAAGAACAATAAGATCAACACTTCAATTGCTTGATTATCATTTCTAGGTTGAGTACGTTAGCTTTTGATCAAAAGTTTAATAAAAATTGAAACGATAACATGTTTCACAATAATGAAATCTGCGCACACTATTAAGTTCGGCTTTACTCTCCGCTACCCTATCAATCCACCATACATTGGAGAAAACAAATAGGCATCCGGCCATGAGCTCCCACACCTAAATTAAAAAAATTTCAAAGTTATAAAACAAATGGAGAAAAAAAATTAGTGAAAACAATTTTTTTTTCAATTAAAGTGTTTCTTTTAGAATATAACGTTTACCTGTAATTGTTTTGCAAGAAGTTGGCTCTTCAAAATGTTTTGAATACGTTAGTTATTGCTTCAAAAACGAATATTATTATATTCCAATATGTTATAAAGATAGATAGATAGATATTATTACTACCAGCCACAAGGGGTGGTACCAGCATATATGTAGAAACTATGTAAAAAAGACATATAATTTTTGTTTTTTCCCTGACGAATTGTGCTTTTTCTCCCCGTCGGGGAATTGGTCGGGGAGAAAACAAAAAATTAAATGTATTTTTTACATATTGTTAGACTATAAAGTGGAATAAATAAGCCTTTGAACCCCTAAATAATTGTAAAAATTTTCGGGGGCTTCGCCTGCAGGACCACTTTCGAAACCTTCTAATAGAAGCTCGACCACGCCCACTTTGCTTTCGTCAGGGAAATCTGACCCCTCATCGGGAACCTCGCCCCCCCCCCCGTGTATAAGAGACAGCCGTCGGGCAAATCCTGGCGTCACCCCTGCCAGGCCCCAGTTGAAAAATCGCTTGCAGGCGTCTTTGGAACGTATTATTTTTTGATAATAAGATAGATCGTAATATGGATAATTATATATTACTTTTATATTCTCTAATTAGATAATGTATACATTTGTTTAACTCAAGAAATCATTTAGAGATTTTTTCCTTTTAAATTTATTTTCAATCAAACAGCCAATGAACTCATCTCTTGATTAAGCAAAAAATTGAACAACAGAATCAACACTTTAATTATTGGTTCTTATTTTCTATAATCTAGAACTACCACGTTAGCCTTTAATAAAAAAAAAATGGAATAATAAAATGTTTCTCACTTTTTTGAGACTCTCATTTGGTTTTCATTTTGTTTAGATTTTTCGCAAATTGCAAAATAATGTTTTTCTATTATGGAGTGACGGATTCAAAGTAGCTCATTCGGCCCATCACCCCACCCCGCCTAATTTTAAAGTTAAAAAAAATAAAGAAAATTATATTAAACTTTTAAGTCAGAGAGTGCCATTTCCGGCCATATAAAGGTGCCATAATCATAAATTTAATCAAGATCCTCTATCTCCGGTCTTTATTATATCAAATAAAATGTCAGTTTTTTTTTGCAATAATCAACTTTTTACAGGTATAATTCTAAATCTATATTTATCTGTATTTATACTTTACTATTTTTGTTGTTTTATATAGGTGTAATTTTAATGTCTGCAATACAAAACTAAATATATGTTTAAATTGTTTATCTATATATGTATTTAACCCCTTATTAAAGCAGCTGGATCTAAATTTCGACTGTATCACGATTGTTGTATTGTCGACAATAAATATTCCTTGGTTCCTTGATTCCATCTGTGATAGTCCCTACCTGAGCCCACTCTATATATCATTTCTGAGTCTGTCATATGGTGACGATTATTTAGCTTAATCTTACAGTATATTGAAGTGACCAATACAAGCTTTATATTTATTAAATATTTCTGATTTTTAGTTTCCTTTATGTTTGTTTTAGGATAATATAGATGAACCAGTAATCTTAGACATTTGATAATTACACCACACCCATCATTCTAATAATATTTGAAGCTCAAATTTATGTCGCAATTATACTTTAATTCGTTTTTGTTGACTCAATTTGTCAAATGAATCAATTTAAAAAGGTAATTGTGGCAAAGACAAGCCAAACCAGTCACTCGTCGCAAAAAATCGAATTTTAGTTATTAATACAGTGTTATGGAGCTATAAAATGGTAAAAAAATCATATAATCCGACATTTCGTTATACAGCTACAGGAGTTTAACCATACAGATGTTTTAAGAAGAATATTTCAAAAATCAGCCTTTAAAGTTTACGATTTCAGGCATTTCTTAGGCATAAACCATCACCAAATCATTAAAAAATGTTGTTTTGATATTTAAAAATGAGGAAAATAACAGCATAGCACGATGTATAGATATATAAAGGTTAGTTTAGTGCAATAAAATTGATTAAAAAATTGTTGACATTTCAGCATGTTTTGGCCATTATCTTCAATACAGGATTTTTCCGGGCATCCAAAATACTGCAAAATGTTCGTAGCTCAGCACCAACGATGATGGCGTTCACGTGGTCCAGACTCTCTTTAAGCACACTCTTTCACAAAACCTGGATACACCACTTCTTTGGCTGGCCGGAGTTTGCCTGCGAGTGGGGGGTTGAATACCAGAGGCCTACGGCTATGTAATACATTAATTGTATTAAAATGAATATGAATATCGAACATTTTCAGATTAAAATATAAATAGGATCCTATGAGAGATTCATCACTTCCTTATTTTATTTCGGCAAAGTCAGCTGCCTGAACACTTTAAACTGTTTAAACTAAAACATCTTTTAACATTTTACTTCAGAAGGCGCTCTAGAAAATTGTTCTGTGGTACCATACTATTATTGCTTCACTATTGGTTACACAACCACATAAGCCTCATTCCGTAGTCAGCTATCTCAAAATCTGATTTCTTTATACAGAAAAACTACTCGTGCTACATTTATGCTGCTACCACTCATGGGCACCACGTGGCTCTTCGGACCGTTTGCTCTCAATGCTGATACTGTATTCATTGATTACGCCTTTAACTTGCTTAACGGCTGTCAAGGAATATTCATATTCATTGTCTACTGCGTCTTTGATAATGAGGTAAAATTCACTTATTAAATTGCTTTCAGTTATTTTAAAGCAAGACAGACATTCACAAGTAGACAGGTTTTTTTTTTTTTGTTTTTTTTTTTTGTTTTTTTTTTAAATATGAGTAACTATAATAACGTCAGCGTTTGTGACTGTTGCCTTTTTTTAAATCAAATATTAATTTATATTATCTATTCAAAAGATATAATACAAGTCTCTTATACACATCTAGATGTGGATAAGAGACAGGCTT